CTATGGGTATCATCCATAATAGAATTCATTTGCTTTTTTTATGTGTACTGCAGAGTCATTGATTAAAGAAGTGAAAATAATCAAAGTTTGCAAGTTAATACATGAATAGAAATGTTCCTGTATGCTGACATTGACTCATGATTTTTTTTTTCTGGTGCCATCCTTGGAGAAAGGGATGACAGTAAAACACCATGTACCTGAAATGCCCTGCTCCATTCTCAAAAACTTAGCCAAGTTACGGGAACATGAGTGAGTCTGGGCCAGAATGTCCTAAAAAATATGATCTCAAAGGATACTGGCTTTCCCTCAGTCGTGCCAGAATTAGGGCAAGCTAGTGTTATTTGTAAAAAGCTGTTTTCTTGCCCTTGAATCTAGTTCTTTGGGATGCACACAATGGAACAAACCAAGCTAAACTGAGGATGTCACTGCTTTTGTAACTTAATCTATAAAAATCTCCATGCCTGTGGTAACTGATGCAGAAACAAACAACATGAAGGGGGAAGTTTTTGTACAGCTGCTTGCCACTGGACACAGTATTGTGAGAGGGGAATCACTGTTTTCTGGCAAAGCACTGGAGGCACCTTATTAAATGGATGTACTCCTGTTCAGCCCATTACCACTGGCCTTCCTGGTGAAGCACCTGTCTAGACCATCATCACTGGACTTTCTGGCAAAGTGTCTGTCCTGCCCATCGCCAATCATCTTCCCCATAGGCATTTTTCAGTAGACTTTATGTCCCATACTGCATCTCTGTGTGACATTTTTGATCTCTCAGCAACTTATCCCATGTCCTAATGTAACTGGATAGTACACTACCCCACAATGCTGTCTTTGCTATAATCAAGTAGATGGAACAGGAAACTTCTCAAGAGATTAAATTTATTAAATGGGATAATTAATTATCAAAGTAATCTGATACTGTGCATATTCTTTAAACACTTGAAGTGTGTATCTGAATGATTGGTTTTTAATGTGTCTACTTTTTGATAAGTGAACATTTTGTAAAATCATAAAATATCAGAGTGGGAAAGAAACTAATAAATTATCTAGTACATTGCTGCAACTAAATTAAAAATACTAACTTCAAACATCAAAATAAGTGATTTAATTGTCTTTTCCTGTACCTCTACAGGCATGAGATTAGAACACATGAGTAAAAGCTCATTTTAGTGAATTAAAATGCTGAATTCTGGATTATGAGGTTTCATCCTTACTGTCACGTGTTATAGATATAAAGTGTGTAAAGAACTTAAAATATATGTTTATAAAAAGATAGTCTTATGCATAAAAATTAGGTTCTGAAATTAGAATTATAAAATGTTTCCTTAAAAGGGAGATTCTTTTAAGGAAAGCTGTTGGCAGATTAGTGCCACTATTGCTATAAAATACTATATTTTCTCTGATTAGCAGGCAGATATAGAAAATATTCACTGATTTTATATCTTGTGCACTTTTACAATCTTCTTAAACTTCCTTAATAATTAAAAAGAACCCTAGTTTTAGATGGAATTTATTATTTTCAACCCAGGGGTAGTTGTTAGTAAAATAAATTCTCTCTTCCATTCTCTGATGAAAAAGATTATCAGTAAAAAATAATTGCTATTCTGCATCAGATTATAAAGCTATCACTCAAGGTCAATTAGTAATATTTGATGAGAGTTAGATTTCCGTCCCTGTGACAAAATACCTGAGACAATCAATGTATATGGAGGAAAGATTCATTTGAGCTTATGGTTTTGGAAGTTTCTCTTTCTGTTTACTTGGATTGACATATGGGATCTACGGTAATATAGTACTTCATGGCAGAGTACCTGGCCATGGAGCGTTTTACCTCATGGTGGCTGGAAAGCAGAGAGCGAGAGAGCAATAGAGCAAGAAAGATAGAGATAGAGACAGAGATAGAGATAGAGATGATAGAGATAGATAGAGAGATAGATAGAGAGCACCAGAGTCCCAATATCCCAATTCAAGGGCATGTTCTAATGACCTCAATTGTTTCCACCATACACTGCACCAAAAGTTCCATCATACCCAATAGTGCAACAGGCTGGGAAGCAATCCTTTTAGAACATGGGACTTTGGAGGAGACTGAAGATTCAAACTATAGTGTTTTATCATTTCAAATACAATACTAGAATTGAAGGGAAAAATACATTGGCATCTCTCATTTTAGGAAAATCTTAATATAACTAAATGCCTCAGTAATCATTGCTTTACTCACCTGATTTGAAAACTCACTACTATAATTGAAATGAGATTCCATTTTGTTTAGTATAGAAATCTGTGTTATGAAATTTTAGTACAGATATATAATAAAGTAGTTCAAGCAAGATATTAATTATGTAAATTCTACCATTAATTTGTAATGCAAATAAACTAAGGCTCATTGCATTGAAACCATGTATGCCTGCTTAAAATAATGAATCACCACTTCTCCATGGATCAGTCATGTGGATGCAGTTATGGCACAGTATGCAAAGGTATCACGTGAATGGACTGTAACATTAAAACTAAGACCGCATTAAACCACAGTTGAAATTCAATATATTCAATTTGTTGTAGCCTGCAGCCCAACAGCTTGATCTTTTGTCACTATGTGCACTAAAAGAGATCATATATCTCTTGTGCACTTGTGTCAGGAAAAGCACTGCAACCTACTTATCATACTTGCAAAACACTTAAGAAAACAAGGCAAATTCCCTTAAAGTAATTCAGCTTTTGGTAAGGACTTTATTATTGCAATCAGTTACAATGTTGTCAAACCTTATAAATTGAAATTCCTAAATAACTGGCTCATAACAGAATATCTTAAAGCCTTATGGGTTAAGTAGGAATAGGAAGAACATATATAAGGTGGAAACATTTAAAAGTTTTTTTAAAATCTAAAAAAGGATAGCAATAGTATTTTTAGCTAAAACATCATACAAGAATACAATGAAAGCAATCCAGCTGGAATCATTCAGTCACTTATTTTAATAAAGACTAATTAAATTATAATTTCTTGCTATTTTATTGTTAGCTGTGTTGTTAGTGCTTATTGTGATGACTGAGTAGTCATGGATGATTAAACTTGTTATCAAGGGTCACAGTAGCATGGAGAACTGTGTAGAGAAATGCCAACATATCTCTTCTATTACATTCTGAACTTTCAATGCTTCAGAACTATGTGTGATTCAGATCTTGTTTTAACATTTTGAGGAGTTAGTAGAAAAATATTTTCTTTTCCTCCAGGTCATGTAGCATGCATATTTTGCCTATCACAACACTTTTTAGAATGACGTGGATATATGTCTTCTTTTTCTGGTGAAAACCAAAATAACAGAGCACCAATATCTTACTCATCACTGTTTCCTAACATGCTAATAACACAGTATTTTGACCTTAGTAATAAGATATGTGGATTATCAATATAATATGTGGTAAAATGCATTAAATGTTTCAAAAATAAACAAATATGCAAACTTCCTAATTGTTTTTAGCATTTGTTGATAGGCATGGTGTAAATAATCTTATCATGGGTCTATTATTATGATATCACTGAATGCATTACTGAGATGGGCTTTCATGCATTGGAACAAGCGGGCTCCAGCACACCAGTGTCCCTCATCCCTGCAAGGGGTCTTTATGAGTCTTTCGACTGGAAGAGCTAATTACTTCCTCATCACTTTACAGTTGGGCTGAGTAACATGCTAGCTTTGGCAAATGGAACAAGGGACCTGACATAAGCAGGGGCTAGAAATGTGAATTCACATTGGTGATTTTGTGCTTTTCCCCTCACTACCAGAAAAATATGGCTCATGTCTAAGGAGGATAAGACACAGATGGAAAAACCCCATACAGAATCCATCTCTTGGAATGGACCCCAAGTAAGTACAGCCTAATTCGATTACACCTCAACCAGTCCACAGATGTGAGAATGAAAAAACAATGTTTGTTGTAACATATTGAGATTTTTTTGGTGGGTATACAGATAAATAATACAATGAAAGTTACTGTAAAGTAAGGCCATCTGGTAAAATATTAGAGTAAGAATAAAAGACCCTTGGCTGCATTTCTTGTCCAACTACTATGTGCGTGTGTATGTGTGTGTGTGTGTGTGTGTGTGTGTGTGTGTGTGTATGGTGTAAGTGGATTAATAATATGGATTATTGGTTTACCTTGTGTTTCTCTTTCTGAAAGTGAAGAAATTGTTAAGAACACTTTCTTAATTAATAGCAATATTATGTTCAACTTTATAATAAAATATTATAACCATTGGCATTTAGAAATGTGAGAATAATAAAGTAAACTACCTCATAGAAACTTGTCAAGGACTCATTAATTTTTACAATTCATCCTCATTCAGGAGGATGCTTACTATGACTGTGAACTATGTTGGGTAAAAACAATAAATTTCTCTATGAAGAAAAAATTTTTCCTATCTCTTAAATTATTTTATACTCATATTTTTATTTTAGTCATATATTGAAACTTCTATCAATGATTGCTAGTTATTATTTAACTGACAAATATAAGTACTATCTCTCAGGTCTCAGTATCCAACCAGTGAGTACTTATAGTCTTCTCTTCTGAAACTCTTTAACTCTGGCTTCTATGGAGCCTCTTTTGCTTTTTGTTTTTTGACTTCCTTACTGGTTCTCATGTTGCTTCTAATTTCCTATACTGTGAAGAGCGATCACATTTTAGTTCTGGGCTGGAGATATAACTCAGTGGTAGGGTGCTTGCCTAGCATGTGTGAGGCCCTGAGGTTTGATCCCCAGCAGCACCACCACCAGCACAATAAAGAAATCGGTCCTGAGCTCTTTCCCAGGTATCTTCCACTATTTTCATATTCAGACACTAAGTCCATTATTTTTTACTTAAACTATATTTTAAGTTCCAGTGACTCAATTCTGTATCTCTCTACACTCCCTCTCCAGGACTGTAACTCCAAGATCCTGATGAACATGTTCACTTAGTTTTCTGTAAATGTGCTGCTTGAAATCCAGGATAACTTGAGTTGAATTTATCTTCAATTAGAAGAAACTTCTAACTTTTATTTCTGTCAGTGACTCAATTGTTCCCAATAAGACAAACTCTGAATCTTGAGATAATTTGTCCCCTGTGTCTCCACTACCATTACCATTTAGCTACAGAGTCTACTTGGATTTTTCTAGTAGATATCACTGTTTTCTTTAACCAATATTTTTCTTCTCAAGGAAGAAAGGATTTTACTTTGTTACTGCTTTGTAATTATATCGGGCTTTATAGCTTGCTTTGACCAATATTGAATGAGAAAAAATATCTCTTGCTACTCTTAGTCCTGAGCCGGTGTGAAGTTCTCCATCTTTCCTCCTTCCCAGCATGTGGAGTAAACTGTGAATGCTGGTCCCTGAGTGAGGATAAGAATCATGCTCAAGTGAATGATTTCAATGCAGTCTCAACAAAACAGACATGTTCTTCATTCTCAAAAGTGGTTCCCAGAACAGCAACGTTATCAATATTTAGGAACGTTTTAGTAAAAGATTCATACAATCTGAAGGGAAACTAGAGGGTTAGGAACATTTTAGAAAGGCAAAATTTTATATCCCAAACCAGACCTTCTGAATCCAAAACTTTTTGAGGTCCAGTAGACTGAGTTTTGACAAGACTTTCAAGTAATTCATTAGCATGCCATTTTGAGAACTATTTGACCTATATAATTTATTTCTGTTTCTTGAAATAGAATTGTTTTTCATAGAACTGAATATTTTAAAGCAAAAAAAGATATGTTAGTGTAAGCTTTTGTTTTGTTTTGAGTGCTTTTTGATATATTTTACAAGTTCCCTAGGTAATCAGTCACACATGGAAGCTAACTCCTACTCATTATTTCTTCCTTAACTGTATAGTAGTATTATTTTTTAGTTTTTATGGTATTCTTCCATCTATGCCTTATTTAGAACTAGCTCATGAGAAAGGTGAAGTAGGGTTCTTTTTTTCATTAAATGAGCAATGAGACTAAGATTGAATTTTTTATGAGCCAGTTGAGTTTACACAATGAGTTTGTGACATACACTAGATCCTGTAGTTGGAATACTTGTCCTTTGTTTATATTTGTAATAAACTAAATGAAAAAAATTTCTTGCCAAATCCACATTTTTCTCAATATAACTTTACAGTTCTGCTGGTGAAAAAGTGGGGGCCATTTTCCTGCTTCATGAATTTAGGCTGGTCTTGTAATTTGTCATGGCAGAAGTAGTAATGTACCAGGTCCAAGTCTAGGCTTCAAGAAATATTTTATGCTGCTTCTTTCTCTCTCCCTCAGACTGCTTCCCAGAAGCCATAAGAACAAATCTGGGGCAACTTTCTGGGGCAGAACTGAAGCCTTAAACATGGGAGCAATTCTAGCTGAAATAAACTGAACTTGGCTCAGATCCAGAACTTAGTGTACTGATCCTGACCATGAGAAATGACCAATGGTCATTTTAATCCACTAATATTCACTAAAAGCCATTCTCTTATCTTATATTCTTTTATTATAGAAGCTAGATCAATCAAGGATTCATCTTCTCTATGTGACCCAGTGTAATGATTATTTTTATATATCAGCTTGACTGAATCATAGGATACCCAGATATCTGATTAAACATTAATTCTGAGTATACCTGTGAGAGTATTAATGAAAAAAATTAATATTTAGATTGTTTACTCAAGTAAAGCAAATGGCCTTCCTGTCTGTGGATAGACATCATCCAGCTCATTGAAGGCCTGAATAGAACAAAAAGGTGATAAAAGGTTGGCTTTACCCTCCTCCTTTGTCTGACTGCTTAAGTTGAGACATTGATCTTCTCTTGCTCTTGATGCTCCTGGTTCGCAGGCCTTTGCGTTTAGAATGGAATTGGTATCATTGGGTCTCTAGCTCTCTAACTTGGATCTCTGACTTACAGACTGAAGCTTATGGAACTTCTCAGCCTTTATGATCACCTGAGCCAATACTAGGTATATATTATAAATCTATGGATATATATTTATATATATAATAAACAATGTATAATATGTGTATCTGAGTGTTTAAATGTATCTAGATTTTGTACATATATATGTGTTTGTATATATATAAATAAGTGTGTGTGTGTGTGTGTGTGTGTGTGTGTGTGTATCCTATTGGTCCAGATAAGCTTGAATAATGCATAGGGTCATTAAAATACATATGGATACTGTTTGATGGAGCTTCTCAGAAAGTTTTTTAAAGGGGCAGATTCCATGTACTCTGTGATCATTCTACCCTTTTAACTTCTTGTTAGAATATGGATATGATGCTTAGGGGTATATCATATAACTAATGATGGCAGCAAATAGGTGATTTTTTTTTTTTGGTGAGGTGGTGCTAAAAAAAATGATACTATGACAAGAAACTTCTGTTCTAAATCTGCACCCAACCTGTATTTATACACATATGGTGAAGCAAAAATCAAAACAACAAAAACAAAACACAAAACAGGTAGATCCATATAAAAACAAAGACTCATGATATTATTATAGATATACCATATTTAGCCCGTATAACCTAATCTGGACACTCTGCTAAGGAAGATGAATATATTCTATTTATTTAAGATATTTGTGAGGTTTACCTTGCTGAGCACATTTTATAACAGACACAAATATTAAGGTCATTGTCTCAAATCCAGGTTGGGTGCAGATTTAGAACAGAAGTCTCTTGTCATAGTATCATTTTTTTAGCACACCCTCACCAAAAAAAAAATCACCTATTCAATAACCAACAGATTACAGTTCCATTAGACACCAAACCACCATTTGCATGTTTTTCTTCATTTAATGTCCTTCTTCTCTGCAGTTAGAAAACTTTTTTTTTTTCCCTAAAAGAGATGAGAGTGAGAAAAGATCATAGTGAGAAATGCTGTTTTAGGGAACAGATGCAAATGTATTCTGAATAAATTTCCTATTTCAGCTTTATAGACTAATTCTCTCCCTATTAAAGTACTAAATCTTTAAAGATTCTCTAAATCCCCAACCTGCAACCCCATCATGAACTTAGTTTACCTTTCATCAGCCAAACAGAATGTAATGTCATATTTTGCTAATGAAAAGCAAGTTGGCTGAAATTATATTCCTTTTGGTTTTTCTTTGAGAAAGCAAAACAAAAATAAAGACAAGTTCTGACCTATTTAGGTAACAATAAAATCAGAGTTGAATAATTGTTCACAGAATGAGGAAATCATCCACAAGTCAATTTGTCAACGTAGAATGTGACTTTGAGTTAGAGAAAATATTCAACTAACACGAATTACAGTTGACAAGAGCTTAAGAGAAATATAGAGCAATTCATTTTAGTAGCAGAAAGTGTCTCCATCTATTGCACTCTAATGTCTTGTTGTGAATGTGTCTGATAAGGTTATCAGAAGTGCAAGACTCAAGTGTTGATTTTCTCTTAGGTCTACATTATGATTTGGCTTTGCTTTATATTTTAGGAATCTGAAGGGAAATAAAATATAGCCATCATTAAAAGCCTCTTTCTACATAATAAGCACACACTGAAGGGTTATCATCAGATACGGGTGTGTAATTGGATAATGTTTCAGAGGCCTCTGTTGTCTCCTCAAGGTTATGAACAAATGATGCATATGTAATGTGGATCTATGCATGTTTGCAGAGAGGCATACCTTTTCAAAACATTGAAAATGTCAACAAATGCTAACAGAAAGCATAAAATTCTTTTAAATATTTCCACTCAGCACTTCAATAAGAAGAAAGGCTACAGTGAAGCAAAGACACAACACCTTTTTCAGAGTTCTGTTAATGTAAAGAGGGTGCGACTACTGTAGCTTGAGTAAGATGATTCATTTCAAATTGTTGGATAAGTCTCAGAGCTAATTCATACCATTGTCTGAAAAGGTTTATATTTTTCAATCTTCTTAATCTGTTCCAAGTGAAAATCACCTTTCAAGCCTATGCTTATGCCTTCTTTTTTTCCCACATTTTTCACAGGATCAAGGTACAAAGATCCGGCATTAGAGAACTCATGGATGCTGGTTGACTTTGAAAAAAACTCACAGGGTAAGATTCTGAAGACGAAAAGAAGGAATGGATGATTAAAGAAGGGTTTCAAAGGGAATGATGTGTTCCCACACTGCTGGATGTGATGCCAGCACCTTGCAGATTGACTTGATAGATTAAAGAAAAACAATTATAACACTCCATGGGGATGATAATGAAGGCAAGAACACGGTTACTAATGTTCTCATGAAGGTGGGCTCACCTGAGAGCTGATGTCTACAAAGGGGGATTATAAACAACAAATGCTAAATTTAAGAAAGTTATGCTGGTAACACTCAGGGTAAATAACTCAGTCATACAGAGTAAAGAATGTTTCTTCGGCTTTAAAACAAAGATCATATATTTAAAGTGGAGGAAAAATTTCTGCAAAAATATCCTGAATGTAATACAACCCAAACAAAAATTCATTATAGTACAAATTTAGTCCCCCAGTCTTTTAATTAATTATTTATTTTTTTTACATTTCTCCTGGAGATAAAATTAAAGAGGAACTACCTTGGCACAGCAGTGTACGCGTGTAATCGAAGGGACACGGGAGGCTTAGGCAGGAGGATCACAAGTTTAAAGACAACCTCAGTAACATGGAGGTGCTAAACAACTCAGTGAAATTCTGACTCTAAATAAAATACAAAAATAGGGCTGGGGATGTGGCTCAGTGGTGGAGTGGCCATAAATTCAATCCCAGGTACCGCCACCCCCCCCCCGCCTGAAAAAAAAATTAAAGTGAAATTAGGTGCTAGTAGTGGGGGAGAAAAGTAAAGTTTTCATAAAATTGGAATAGATTATTTTAAGAATCATCTCAGAGCAACATAAAAATAGTTGATGTAGAAGTACACCTAAACCTTGAAATTGCTCCTGTCTATGTTGAGGTTAGGTGGTAGGGTCTATGTAAGAAGACTGCTATAGGTGCTTCAATGCTCCGAGTGCACGTGGCCCATGGTGTCAGAGTGTGGCTCCACCACTTACTATTCATCTGTCTTTGGGCTATCTTCTAAACCTCTCGAAGCCTCAGTTTAGTCATCTGTTAAAATGAGGATTCTAATTGTTGTTATTTACTTGGATTAATAAAAGCATTAAGACACAAGATGTAAAATATTTGGCATATTTTGTAGAAGAACTTATGCAATGCTATGATTGGTGGTAAGTTTGCTTGATTTAGTCATAACTAACTTTTCAATTTGTATTTATTTTTTCTACATGGAAAATAGATAGTTATGTTAGTTTGAATTTCTCCTGCATTTATAAGTGAAAATACTTCCATTGTTGGAGAAACACTAGAAATCAAACTTTTTTTTTAAGTCTAAATATCATATGAGCTAGTCTGAGGTTTGTTATTCAGAGTAATACCATACATTTTATTTCTGCTGCACTCATTGTTCCTTGTTTTTGAAGACTGGCCTTTCCCCCTAATTTTCTGTATTTTTCCAAAATGAGCAATTGTCTTCAATCATTTATCTATATTTATGTGATTCAATATGATAGTTACTGGCTTCATGAGGCTACTGAGCATTCAAAATGTGGCTGGCTGGTTCTATTCAAGCTGCCCTATAGTGGAACACACACATCAGTTTTAAGAGAGTACAAAAAGCAGAATGTAAAATTCTCAATATTTAAAAATTGTTTGGAATATTAGCAAATTGAAATGATGATATTTTAGATTGCTAGATTAAACAAAATTTATGCAAATGACCTATTTCTTGACTTATTTTAATGTGGCTATTGGAAAATGTATAATTACATCTGTGTACTGTATTTATGGCTTGCTCATGTTTCTATCTGATTTCATTCTTTACATGAGCAATTTTCACATTTTCAAGATTTAGAAGAAAGTGGTAACTTGTCAGTTCAGACCAAGATTAAATAATAATCAATTGGATTGCATGTCTCTAGCCAAAAGGATAGAAATGACTATGTAATTACCAGAGGAATTCTGAATATAAAGAAGGATACATGGATTTATATAATTTTGATTATGAATACTAATATTGATATACATGAAAACAGCACATGTTTTTAACATGATATTTTTATTTCAAAGTAAAATGAATGAATTCAGTGACCATCATAGAATAATTATACAGATTCTCCTTCCTCAGCATTCTCTGGCATTGTCTTCAGATCCCCTGTAACCATGATAGGACACATGCACAATCTTTCTATATTTGTTGGTTCATCCTTCAGCTGGTTTTAGTGAAGTTTACAATGACCTTCATAAGGTCAAAGTATTTCTACTGTTTAATTGCCTATTGAATTTTTTATATTGTATCACCTATTCTCTTGTAGACATTATGAGCTTTTGTATAACTTGATTTTTACCACCCAGTTCTTTCTAGCAAATATAATGTCTTGTCTGTACAACTTTATTCAGCCATTAGATATCTACACTGTTGGATAGTACAAAATAAATGGAAAATGTGTCAGTTAAAGATGTGTCGGTTTCTGTGGCATAGAAACAGACATTGCAGAACATGCTGTATCAGAGTGGAACTGCTCATTGGTTGTGTATTTGTAGGATGGTGCAGTACAGCTTCTTGGTGGAAAATTCATAGCACAATAGGCTATACTAACCTGATCCTATTGGATAAGAGAATTTTCAAGTCCTCAAAACTTGGGGAAAGTGTAACACAGACACACATAGACATACACAGAGTTTTTTTCTTTTTTTTGTTTAGGAAACCACTCAGGTCAATGTAATAAATCAGAACGGGAAAAGTAGTATGAAATGCAATGTGTGTGTATATTGGAATAATAAATAGACTAATCTTAAGTTTTCAAAAATATGGATAAGTCAAGAAAGTTGGAAATTTTTCGTGTTTCTGAATTAACAAAATTCATATCACTTAACAAAAATACTTAACTTGAGCTCTTTATTCTGGAGCTATGGTTCATTATATTTATAAGTGAAGAATGATGTATGATTTAGTATTTAAGATTATATTGTTGTAGGTATGTGTCTAAAGAGATTGTAGACATCTTAAGCAAATTTTAGTTCATTTCAGTCACATTTTCCCTTGATTTGTCTTGCCATGTGAGCCCACCTTAACCAATTGTTATGTACAAGAAATGGATACTTTGTTGGTGTCAAGTCTCATAACTGCTCAATAAGGCATATAAATTAGATGAAATTTCTATCATCACTTCCTATAGAAGTTACTCAGCAAAAATAAAGCCTGAAATTTAAATAACTGGTTTATGAGTTGATTGACATTTTTCTGGAAATGTCTGATTACTTTACAAGGATGAGCATGTATAATCTTTATAACAGTCTGCAAGATACCTATCATGCACATGATAAAGATGCAGCAGTTGATACTCCAAGAAAGTGAGTTTATCACAACTGGAATATCTTTAAGAAAGTCTATTTCCAAAATCCTATTATTCTTCCAGCTCTACCATGCTCCTGATAAATATCCAATTCTTAGCTCTTTTTCATGAGAATCTACAAAGATGCCACAGAGAAAGTTGTTTAACCTTGACAGGAGGGAAGGAACTTGAGGAAGAAAAATT